ATTGTATTCGCCGACCACGGGCTGACATTTTAATTTTTTTTCGTAGTAAGTCGTATCTGGGTCATCTTCTTCTTCGTTTATATTCGCGGTAAAAACAATTTCCCGAACACTATTGAGATTAATATTCACATCTAGAATACCCTTTGATAAAAATCCTACAAATTCTGATTCGGAATCACTTTCCATAGCAAAGAAATTATTAAAAGAGTGAGCACTGGGATATTGCAATTCGACGAAGATGAGTGGCTGCCATTTTGGTACGCCGTATATCACATATATCTTCTTCTCTGTTTCATATCTCGGAAAAATCACTTTCCCCGGAACATTTGTCATTACTGAGATTAATATTCACATGTAAATAAATATCCTTTGATAAAATTCCTTCAAATTCTGAATCAGGATCACTTTCCATAGCAAAGAAATTATTAGATGAACGAGCGTGAAAATATTAAACTTGCGTATACAAAATGGCGCCCTATGACACAAATTTTCTCGAGAGTTCACAACCTTATAACCCCGAAACCATTGATGTGAGGAATATGTTTTATGACTTCAATCGTTAGTTCAAACTATATGCTTATTGGATAACTACTTTTGGAAAGCCAATCGTCTTTTTTTATAACTTTATTGATCAATAAAACAATACATCAAAAAGGCTGACAGAAGCCGTTGATGGGCAAATTGTCTCACGAGTTTACGACCTTTATAACCCCTAAACCTTTGATGTGACCTACAAATTTTATGATTCTAGTAATTAGTTCAAACTATATATTTATTGGATAACTACTTTTTGGAAGCCAATTGGCCTTTTTTGATAACTTTCTTGATCAATAAAACTTTACATCAAAGAGGCTGACAACAGTCGTCGTTAGAAAAAGTGACTAGACATTAGGTAGTCGACAGGTGGCGTAAGTCGGTGTCTTATCAAGGACTAGCAGGCTTAATCTGGATTTATACGTGTTGTAGTTACATATATGTGCTCTTATACTTATTTCATTCGTACCAATTCCGGCTTTAGTTATTTATATATTTGTCTTTTTTGTGGGTTTAATTTGTTTAAATATTATCGTGCGTACCACTGAACTATAAATGCACATATCTTAAAATTGATCACACGCAGTATCGTTGGATAATCAAAGCAATTTGATTATCCGATATATTCTAATCTCCACTGATATCAGATTAACATATCTGTTTTCAAAGCTGCCATTATATTGTAATCATATTTTCACACAAAACTGCTCTTTGCCGATTTACATGTCTTCCTGATATATTCTCATTAGGGTATGTTTGGTTCCCTTCTTTCAAAAGTGACCCTTCTTGGACAATTAGTCAAACATAAAGAAATCTAACTCTCAGTCCCGAAAAAGAGATATCGGCGTGCGGCTTATTGTGAATGGAAATCAAAGTCATGTAATAAAGAAATTCCTGATCAAAGAATAATTCAACCGTAATGAAATTATTTCAGAACAACAGTAATTTCTAATACACCATTGATGTAATTAAAATATCTTTAGCAAATGTACATAATCCATTGTGGCGTTTGTATCGCTGACAAATTGCAGTTTTTAAATAGGATACTTCCACTTCAAAATTTTCACTGCCGGTCATTTTTGATAACCCGAGAAAACTTTTCAAAGTAAATTCATATTTCATGTTTTTTATTCATGGTAGGGTATTGTGAATTCACGTGTCTATACCACTTTGTCAGCATGGTGTAAACCAAAATCGTCCGAGCAGTCGACAAGGGTTGTCACATATTTATTCTTTTGTAGGTAATTAAGGGAATTTAATAGACAATTTCATACAGATGACATTATAATTTTCGTTGTTTGAGGGTTCACAAGGTTCTAAAGATAGGTTGCCAGGCAACAAAACATACGCCCACAGCAGCTAAATCATCCAAGCGGTCGACAAGGGTTGTCGCATATTTATTCCTTTGTAGGTAATAATCAGATCAGATTATAAATTTTGTCGTTTGAGGGTTTACAAGGTTCTACAAACTGAAACAAGGGTCTCAACTCTGGAAGTAATCTACAGAAATTGTTGAAATTTGACAGGCTTTTTTGTTTTACTAATTTAAATAATGTATATAAATTTCATACAGATCACATTATCACTTTTGTCATTCAAACGTTCACAATCGCCATAACTCTAAAAATTATTGACGGAAATTGTTGAAATTCAAAAGACCCGTTTCACAAATTTAAATGATGCATAAAAATTTCATACATATCGGACGATATCTTTCATCAATCGAGCATTAACAAGGTTTAACAAAGTGAAACAAGGGCAATAACTCTAGAAGTAATTATTGTAAATTGCTGAAATTCAATAGGCTTTTTCATTTCACTAATTTAAATCATGCATATAAATTTCACAAAGATCGGGTCATAACTTTTGGCGTTAATGCGTTCACAAGGATCAACAAGCCAACAGTGAGGCTGATGTCCCCCGCCGAAATGGGAAAATAATTAGAGGACACATATAAATTTATCACAAATTATCTTTTACAAAGTATTGAACAATCAAACAGTATATCTTTACTTATAGTCTAACAATCAAAGTAGGAGAGTTATTGTTTTCCAAAGTCTCGACCAATCAAATTGCGTATCGCTCTGCTTACCCTGAGCAGAAAATGCTCATTATCAAACTTAGTCAAGGTATTACTGTAATGAAACTATACACCAAGTTTCATCAATCTCACTTAATTAGAACTAAAGTTATCGTGTCCCAAAGCATCAACCAATCAAATTGCTTATCTCTGCTTACCCTAAGCGGAAAATGCTCATCTTCGAACTCCATCAAGGCATTGACCTAATCAACACATACACCAAGTTTGAACATTCTAGCTCAATTAGGAAGAGAGTTATCGTGCCCCAAAGTATCAACCAATCAAATTGCTTATCTCTGCTTACCCTAAGCGGAAAATGCTCATCTTCGAACTCCATCAAGGCATTGACCTAATAAACACATACACCAAGTTTGAACATTCTAGCTCAATTAAAAGTTATCGTGTCCCAAAGCATCAACCAATCAAATTGCTTATCTCTGCTTACCCTAAGCGGAAAATGCTCATCTTCGAACTCCATCAAGGCATTGACCTAATCAACACATACACCAAGTTTGAACATTCTAGCCCAATTAGGAAGAGAGTTATCGTGTCCCAAAGCATCAACCAATCAAATTGCTTATCTCTGCTTACCCTAAGCGGAAAATGCTCATCTTCGAACTCCATCAAGGCATTGACCTAATAAACACATACACCAAGTTTGAACATTCTAGCTCAATTAGGAAGAGAGTTATTGTGTCCCAAAAAGTGTGACGGACAGACAGACGGACGGACAGACGGACAGACAGACGGACAGACAGACGGACGAACCCATTTTAATAGTCCCCTGCTTTCTTCGAAAGGCGGGGGACAATAAAGTGAAACAAGGGCCATAACTCTAGACGTAATAAACGGATATTGCTGAAATTCAATAGGCTTCTTCGTTTCACTAATCTTAATAATGCATATAAATTTCACAAAGATTGGGTTCAATAAAGTGAAACAAGGGCCATAACTCTAGATGTAATAAACGGAAATTGCTGAAATTCAATAGGTTTCTTCGTCTCACTAATTTAAATAATGCATATAATTTTCAGAGAGATCGAATGATAACTTTTGACGTTAGAGTTTTCACAAGGTCATAACTCTAGACGTAATAAACAGAAATTGCTGAAATTTAATAGGCTCATCGTTTCAGTAATCTAAATAATGAATAAAAATTACAGAAAGATCGGATGATAACTTTTGACGTTAGAGCGTTCACAAGGATCAATAAAGTGAAACAAGGGGCATAACTCTAGACATAATAAACAGAAATTGCTGAAATTCAATAGGCTTCTTCGTTTCAGTAATCTAAATAATGCATATAAGTTTCAGAAAGATCGGATGATAACTTTTGGCGTTAGAGTGTTCACAAGGTTCAATAATGTGAAACAAGGGGCATAACTCTAGACATAATAAACGGAAATTGCTGAAATTCACTAGACTTCTTCGTCTACTAATTTAAATCATGCATATAAATTTCACAAAGATTGGGTGCTAACTTATGGCGTTTACCGCGTTCACAAGGTGCAGTCAAGTGAAACAAGGGCCATAACTCTAGATGTAGTAAACAGAAATTGCTGAAATTCAATAGGATTCTTCGTGTCACTAATTTAAATTATGCATATAAATTTCACAAAGATTGGGTGCTAACTTATGGCGTTAACCGCGTTCACAAGATCGGATGATAACTTTTGGAGTTAGAGCGTTCACAAGGTTCAATAAAGTGAAACAAGGGCCATAACACTCGACATAATAAACAGAAATTGTTGAAATTCAATAGGCTTCTTTGTTTCACTTACTTAAATATTGCATATAAATTTCACAAAGATCGTATGTTAACTTTTGGCATTAGAGCGTTCACATGGTTCAACAAAGTGAAACAGGGGCCATAACTCTAGACCTAATAAACGGAAATTATTGAAATCAAATAGGATTCTTCATCTCACTAATGTAAACAACATATATCAATTTTAAAACAATTGGATGATAACTTTTGGCGTTTGAGCGTTCACAAGAAATTGTGGACGATGGACGGACGGACCGACGGACGGACGGGGGCAACGGCAATATAAGTCCACATTTCAATGTGGGCGTATAAAAAGGAACCAAGATCTTTAGGTTATAAACATGCATTTCAAGTTTCATCAAAATCGGATCAAAATTGTGACCTCTAAGTGTCCACAAGCGAAACGTCATTTTTCGTATAATCAGGGGCCATAATCCATGAATTCATGGTCCGATATATGCCAATATATTATAGAAAGGAACCAAGATCTTTGGGAGATGGACTTATATTTCAATTTTCGTCAAAATCGGATAAAAATTGTGACCTGTAGAATGTATACATGAAAATCTGGGTGTATAAAAACATCAAATGATCTATCAATTAAATAGTTTGGTTTACCTTGTGGTACAACAGGTGGACCTGTAGAACGCCTGGTCGCATGTGTATAAGGACAGTCTAGCCGTGAACACTTGGCATCATATTTACAATTTGGATGTATATACAAACATTTGTCAGCAAATTTACAATGTGGAAATGTTCTGAAATAAAGATAGTAACAAGATTATTATCAGCTGCCAAGAAATCCACAAGCATTCCATAAGTTAACATCACAATTTTCTTAATAATAATCCTAAAACCATTGATATAGTGGTTGCCAAGCATATGCACCTTAGCAGCTAAGTCACTCCAGCAGTTATAAACTTAACAACTTAATCATCATATCAATTTTAGAAAGATCCGATCATAATTGAAGCCTCTTTAAGGTGCTAATATAGATTTCTTAAAGGGAAATAACTCTGGAAATTATTGCAGTTCCTACCTGACATGTATTATTAAATGTAAGACACAAAATGTATACATCAATAAATGTACGAAACAACATGCTTATATTACTAAAGGTACGACACAACATGTATCTATTACTAAAGGTAAGACATGAAATGTGTGTCATTTATGACACGTCACATTTTACTGACTCTTGGACATGGCTAGTGTTTTACTGGCTGTAGAATGTAACATACATTTCTAACTGTAAGATACGATTTGTATCTTTTACTGACTAATCGAACAGACTGATAAATTTCAAGTATTTTTAGTATTCTAGTAAATGTATTGAATGACTAAATATGATGGGATTTCGCCTGTATATTCCGGACATGTCCAACGCTATATTTCAAACGTCCTAAATTGTCCGACCAGGAATATATGTCCAATCTGACATCAAAAAATGGTGAATAATATTCAGAATTCCAAAATTAATGTAGTGTACTGAGTGTATAACTACCACTCAACCCGATTATCCTTGATAATAGGCTGGATTGATTAGGTAATTAAGTAATCAATGTATTGGTGTTATACCGTCTATACACCTACCTTGATTAACTACTTAATCTGCATTGATTGGCTGACTTAATCCTTTGGCGGACATTTCATCAATCCAATCCTGAACAAAAGTCATTGCTTCTCCTTTGTTGAACTATAAATCAATCCGATAAGAGCGATTATAAACTTAATCTACGCGATTAACCCGTGATTTCTCCATTGTTGGACGTTTCAATCTTCTTGATGTTGGCCGACAACATGTAATTAAATGAAATGGGGTTTAACGTCCTACCATTCTGCTCCTAAACTGGGCTAATGAAGATGGGCATACGCCATACAGTGTGCTATGAGGGAAATTTTGCCCGGGCAGCAGCGCTATGGCCTACTCTTATATCAAATTCCAACTGCCAATAAGTAGTAGTACACGGGACCTCGGTTTTTCGTCCCATCCGAACGACAAGACAGCTGTCCTTGTCAGGCCCTCCGTCCTGCATCACTGACAAGGGGAAACCACGCCAGAAAATCTAGATGAACTTTCTCGGCCAATGCAGGGATCGAACACCCGACCTCCAGGCTAGTGAGCCAGCATCTTACCCACTTAGCCACATGATCCCCCGACAACATCTAGGAATTAGACATATGTCACATATCCTAATAGTATATAATACCCCAAATCAATATACACTGTATCCGATAACTTGTCTGTGATATTTCTTCGGTGCTTTAGTGGAAGCCGAAGTTAAATAAAGCCATTTCACACACATGCATGGCGGTTATAGTACAATAAATGAAATGAAAGTAAAAATCTCGCAAGACACGTGAAATTACGAGATGTAAGCGTGCCAAATCTCATACGTCTGATGCCGGAGAAAAGATTCTATTTTGATTGCATATTCTCGGATTTATGATCATATCTTGAATGGGGTTTATCTTTATAAAAAAAATAAATAAACACGCTAAGAAATGTTGACGAATATTTCGATTGGAATAATGTAAATAGTTAATTGTTTTAGACAATAGCGCATGCTAGAGTTGAATGCGATTATTTTGCAGTTGGTGTCACTGGTTACTGTCCAATAAATTTCGGGATGCCATTTTTTTGCCTTCCGTATGTAAGTCTAAATGGAGTATAAGATGTATGAAAAATGCTGTAAAATGTATCGACTTATGACCTGAAAAATACGGCAATTTTGGAGGAATTTGAAATAGGTAGTAATCGACACACTTCCATTCTATTACGATGTCACATAATTTTGTAGGAATATTATTGATATAAATTGGAATATTGTATGGGAAATAAACATGAAATATAACAAGGTGTACCTATTTTTTATTACGTATGAATTTGAATATTTTGTTGACATATGATTCTTAATTGTGGTTTGAAAATGCCTGCTTAAATAACGATAAGAGTTATGCCCCTTTATTTTCGAGAAAAAATGTCCAACAAGAAAAATTTTGAAATCCCATCACTGAAGACACCACATGTATATGTTCCTGTAGGTCACCACATGTATATGTTTGTATTTTCAGCCCCTTACAACATCGCCCCCAGCTTGTACAAAGATAGGCAACGAGACATACGCCCACAGCAGCTAAATCGTCCGGGCAGTCAACAAGAGTTGTCACATATTTTTAATTTTCGGTAATGAAACATTTATAATACACTAAAATCTGATTATAAATCTAAAGTCAATCGGATATTAACTTTGACCTCTTGAGCGTCCACAAGATTTTTCAAAGTGATCAAGGCCCATAACTCTAGCAGTAATTATTGGAAATCGCTGAAAATCAAAAGGCTTCTTCGTCTCATGACCTTAAACACTGTGTATAAATTTAAAGTCAATCGGATATTAACTTTGACCTCTACAGTGTCCACAAGATTTTTCAAAGTGATTAAGGGCCATAACTCTGGTAGTAATTATTGGAAATCGCTGAAAATCAATAGGCTTCTTCGTCTCATGACCTTAAACACTGTGTATAAATTTAAAGTCAATCGGATATTAACTTTGGCCTTTAGAGCGTCCACAAGATTTTTCAAAGTGATCAAGCGCCATAACTCAGGCAGTAATTATCGGAAATTGCTAAAAATCAATAGGCTTCTTCGTCTCATGACCTTAAACACTGTGTATGAATTTAAAGCCAATCGGATATTAATTTTGGCCTCTAGAGCGTCTACAAGATTTTTTTGAAGTGATCAAGAGCCATAACTCTGGCAGTAAATCAATAGGCTTTTTCGTCTCATGACCTGAAACACTGTGTATAAATTTAAAGTCAATCGGATATTAACTTTGGCCTCTAGGGTGTCCACAAGATTTTTCAAAGTGATCAAGGCCCATAACTCTAGCAGTAATTATTGGAAATCGCTGAAAATCAAAAGGCTTCTTCGTCTCATGACCTTAAACACTGTGTATAAATTTAAAGTCAATCGGATATTAACTTTGACCTCTACAGTGTCCACAAGATTTTTCAAAGTGATTAAGGGCCATAACTCTGGCAGTAATTATTGGAAATCGCTGAAAATCAATAGGCTTCTTCGTCTCATGACCTTAAACACTGTGTATAAATTTAAAGTCAATCGGATATTAACTTTGGCCTTTAGAGCGTCCACAAGATTTTTCAAAGTGATCAAGCGCGATAACTCAGGCAGTAATTATCGGAAATTGCTAAAAATCAATAGGCTTCTTCGTCTCATGACCTTAAACACTGTGTATGAATTTAAAGCCAATCAGATATTAACTTTGGCCTCTAGAGCGTCTACAAGATTTTTTTGAAGTGATCAAGGGCCATAACTCTGGCAGTAATTATCTGAAATTGCTTAAAATCAATAGGCTTCTTCGTCGCATGACCTTAAACACTGTGTATGAATCTAAAGTCAATCGGATATTAACTTTGGCCTCTAGAGCGTTCACAAGATCTTTTGAAGGGCCATAACTCTGGCAGTAAATCAATAGGCTTTTTCGTCTCATGACCTTAAACACTGTGTCTAAATTTAAAGTCAATCGGATATTAACTTTGGCCTCTAGGGTGTCCACAAGATTTTTTAAAGTGATCAAGTACCATAACTCTGGCAGTAATTATTGGAAATTGCTAAAAATCAATAGGCTTCTTCGTCTCATGACCTTAAACACTGTGTATAAATTTAAGATCAATCGGATATTAACTTTGGCCTCTAGAGCGTCCACAAGATTTTTGGAAGTGATCAAGGGCCATAACTCTGGCAGTAATTATCGGGAATCGGTGAAAATCAATAGGCTTCTTCGTCTCAAGACCTTAAACACTGTGTATAAATTTAAAGTCAATCGGATATTAACTTTAGCCTCTAGAGCGTCCACAAGCAATTGTGGACGCCCGACTGCCGGCCGGCCGGGGGCGACGACAATATACGACCACATTTAAATGTGGGCGTATAAAAAGAGACTCAAGTTGGTGGTGTAAAATGTCAATTTCTTATATTAAATGACTGAAACATGACTAATCCAATTGGCAACAATTAATAGTTACCCTGACATCATGTTCCTTGCTCAACAACAGTTGGGCTTAATTCAGACTAAAACAGGCCAGACACATCACAAGTGATGTCGTGCCCAACTTTTTTCCCAGTTGTGCACCATGCAGAGTCGTAGCTTTAAGCCACAAATCGGCATTGATTTGACCCCATGACAAATGTGGCCTCGACTGGCGTAAGCAGCGGAATTGTGTATCATAAAAATTCCATGCCACATGCCATAAGTCTGCGCCAACTCAGTCATAAGCGCCTAATAACTAAGGAGAGCCGAGGCTGAGCCAGGATCCTTCTGCAGCAAAATGTCCATCAAAATTGCGAAAGCTCGCTGCCATTGAGCAAAACTAAGGGATTTGGGTTTTGGAGCTGATGATATTCTAAGAACTGGCTCGTCCTCTGCCACAAGTCACATTTAATTTTTTCCCGTTTTTCCCGTAGCATCAGCTTGCTGCTGGAACCGGGCGGCAGCGTTTACAGTAAAAACTGAGCTTGAAGTCAGGGATCTGCCAGCCTCTGTTGTGACTGTGGAACTTCGCGGATCAGCAGCGACTATTGGCGTTGGTTGAGATGACAATACACTGGCAGGTGTTGGTTGAGATGCCAAGACACTGGTAGGGTGGGCCTCCGTGACTGGGGTAGATCTGGTGGTGTGTAAAACAGATGTACATATACTGGAGGTGGGTATCACCAAACCCTGATCGACCATCTTTT